ACCTACAGTCATGGCCGAAATTGTTGGCACCCTTGATATTTCTCCAGGAAATCATGTATTTCTCACGAAACGTATTGCATTAACACATGTTTTGCTATACACATTGTTTATTCCCTTTGTGTGTATTGGGACAAAACAAAAAAAGGGAGGAAAGAAAGCAAATTCGACATAATGTCACACAAACCTCCAAAAATGGGCTGGACAAAAGTATTGGCACCCTTTCACAACTGCGGATAAATAAGAATGTTACAAGCATGTGATGCTCCTGTAAACTCACCTGGGGCAAGTAACAGGTGTGGGCAATATAGAAATCACACCTGAAAGCAGATAAAAAGGAAGAGACGCGTTCACTTAAACCTTTGCATTGTGTGTCTGTCTGTGCCACACTAAGCATGGACAACAGAAAGAGGAGACGAGAACTGTCTGAGGACCTGAGAACCAAAATTGTGGCAAAATATCAACAATCTCAAGGTTACAAGTCCATCTCCAGAGAACTAGATTTGCCTTTGTCCACAGTGCGCAACATTATCAAGAAGTTTGCAACCCATGGCACTGTAGCTAATCTCCCTGGTCGTGGACGGATGAGGAAAATTGATGAAAGATTGCAACGCAGAATAGTCCGGATGGTGGATAAGCAGCCCCAAACATGTTCCAAAGACATTCAAGCTGTCCTGCAGGCTCAGGGTAGCATCAGTGTCAGCGCGAACTATCCGTCGACATTTAAATGAAATGAAACGCTATGGCAGGAGACCCAGGAGGACCCCACTGCTGACACAGAGACATAAAAAAGCAAGACTACAGTTTGCCAAAATGTACTTGAGTAAGCCAAAAGCCTTCTGGGAAAACGTCTTGTGGACAGATGAGACCAAGATAGAGCTTTTCGGTAAAGCACATCATTCTACTGTTTACCGAAAACGGAATGAGGCCTACAAAGAACAAAACACAGTACCTACGGTAAAATATGGTGGAGGTTCAATGATGTTTTTGGGGTTGTTTTGCTGCCTCTGGCACTGGGTGCCTTGACTGTGTGCAAGGCATCATGAAATCTGAGGATTACCAAAGGATTTTGGGTCGCACTGTAGGGCCCACTGTCAGAAAGCTGGGTTTGCGTCCAAGATCCTGGGTCTTCCAGCAGGACAATGACCCCCAAACATACGTCAAAAAGCACTCAGAAATGGATGGCAAAGAAGCGCTGGAGAGTTCTGAAGTGGCCAGCAATGAGCCCAGATCTAAATCCCATTGAACACCTGTGGAGAGATCTTAAAATTGCTGTTGGGAAAAGGTGTCCTTCCAATAAGAGAGACCTGGAGCTGTTTGCAAAGGAAGAGTGGTCCAAATTCCATCCGGGTGAGAGGTGTCAGAAGCTTATTGATGGTTATAGAAGCGACTGATTTCAGTTATGTTTTCCAAAGGGTGTGCAACCAAATATTAAGTTAAGGGTGCCAATACTTTTGTCCAGCCCATTTTTGGGGTTTTGTGTGACATTATGTCATATTTGCTTTTCTGCCTCTGTTTTATATTTGTTCCAATACATACAAAGGGAATAAACATGTGTATAGCAAAACATGTGTTAATGCAATACCTTTTTTGTGTGAAATACTTGATTTTCAGGAAAAATATCAAGGGTTGCCAACAATTTCGGCCATGACTGTATAGTACCTATCTATCTAACTATACCTTCACCACAGGAAACCTCAAGATCTAATATATGAATTCCATCCATCACCTAGGAGAGGAGTAAACACAGCATTCACAATGCAATGATTGGTCCTCTGGGTAAGATATGAAGAACACCTTTCCCTCCTAAACCAACATACTTAACATTATAACATATTTAAACCAAAACATTGGGATATGATGAAAACACCTGTCAGGTATTTTTCATTTTTGTTGTCTGTATACCATTGGGTAGATTTCCCTTCACATGCTGTTGTGAAAACAAAATGGGGAGTGAAAGAAACAGGAAGAAGTGGAAAAAAAATCTCTAGAAACTGGGGGAAAATCCCCTTTTAGACAGTTGGCACCTGCTATTTCTGTTCTCGTGGCAACTGTCAAATTTTGAATTTTCCATAACTTTCTGTCATGGTGTCATGGTCACCAAGATGAATTGACAAAGTGACTCTCTCAGCGGAGACAGCAATAAAGTATTGACAGAAATGCTATCCCTTTCACATTTTATCTAAAATTAAAGAAAGATTTGGTTCTACATCTATATTCGAGGCACAGGAAGACATCGTTTTAATGATGAAACGCGTTAAGCAGAGCCTCCTGATGACTTCATCGCATACCAGAAAGTGAATGCCAATAACGGCTGGGTGACTTTGTTTTAATACACATTGATTTTATTTACATGTGAGTGCATTTTTATATCCCAATAAACATATTACAGTATACTTTACACTATGAGGAGTGTTTGTCTGTTTGTTTTGCATGATTCTGTACCACTGGGAGATCCACTAAGGCTATTTGGAGAGCTGTTTCTATGGAAGAACTGGGGACATTTGTGGAGAGATACCATTGGTGAGCTCTTTATGACCACTCTGAGCAGGGGGGTCACGTTGATCTGGTAACCCTGCATCCTGATATCACTCTGGGTGATATCACTCTGGGCAATTATTTGCTTTATTTATCTGTATAACTAACTTTGTGGAATTTTTTGTATCATTATTTTTCACTTTGGTTAATTTGGAGCAACACAGTGTAATTTAATAGCTAATATACTGTATATATCTGGGTTATATGTGCACATTTCCACCAGACTTTTGTTGGTCCCCTGAGCTGATGATACCTGTTTTGTACATTGGATGTATGTAACTACTATTATTTTTTTTTGCTAGTATAAAGCTTGTATTATTTTCCACACTGGTATATTTTCTGTAAGATATAGCTAATGTTATATGCTGGTTACAGTAGTTCCTATACTCCCCAAATACTTTTTTAGATTACTGAATAATGTCCCAGGAAAGAAATCCCCTCTGTTCACAGAGGCCTGTCCTGTGTGGAGGCACTGCCAACTTTACTATCAAACCCACTCTTTCACTTAGGGAAGGGTCTGTGTCAGGGCTCCAGGGTATGACCAGAGGTGTGTGACTGACGCAGGGGAAACGCAGACTTCAGATATGTTATAAACAATATAATTTATTAACACTAACAATACAAACATAAACGCAGTGCAATACTAAAACATAACACAGTGCAAACAAACCAAACCAACCACCCACAGATAACCGTACAATACAATGCAAGCGTCGTCAGGCAGGCCGGGTCAATATCAATCGGGCAGGTAGGTACAGGGGGAGCAAGCGGAGAATGGTCGGGGTCACAAGCCAGTTCAGCAGGTAGCGGGCAGCGTGGTACAGAGGGTCAGGCAGAGGAGAATGGTCAGACAAGCCAGGGATCAGGAGCAGGAAGAGAAAGGTCAGACAAAGCCAGGGATCAGAGCAGGGTCAGCAACGAATCAGGCAGGAACAGGATACAGGGCCCAGGAGAAACACACACCGCGGCAGAGTCTGCAGGTCTGGCCATCCCTTAAATACACCAGTATAATCAGTTCCAGGTGTTGACTGGCTGCAAGGTTGAGTCTCTGATTGCTGGGAGCACCCGCTGGCTAGCCCTGGTACTGCAGCTCATAAGGCAGGTGAGTCCCACCATTGCTGGCCAGTCCCATTCCTGACAGTACCCCCCCCCCTCAAGGAGCGGCCTCAGGACGCTCCAAAACAGTCCTAGCTGGGCAAAATGTTCCACCGCCGGGTCTGGTAACTGGCGGGATATCAAAGACTGGCACACCGGGCAGGACTCCGGGCAGCGGCACACCGGACAGGACTCCGGGCAGCGGCCCACCCCGGGCAGAACTCCGGGCAGCGGCACACCGGGCAGAGCACGATCCGGGCCAGCGGCACATCGGGCTGGACTCCGGGCAGCGGCACATCGGGCTGGACTCCGGGCAGCGGCACATCGGGCTGGACTCCGGGCAGAGGCACATCGGGCTGGACTCCGGGCAGAGGCACATCGGGCTGGACTCCGGGCAGAGGCACATCGGGCTGGACTCCGGGCAGAGGCACATCGGGCTGGACTCCGGCAGAGGCACATCGGGCTGGACTCCGGGCAGAGGCACATCGGATCACCAGGCGAAGCAGCAGGCAGCGGGCCCCCAGGCGGAGCAGCAGGCACTGGGCCCCCAGGCGGAGCAGCAGGCACCGGGCCCCCAGGCGGGGCGACAGGCATCGGGCCCCCAGGCGGGGCGACAGGCATCGGGCCCCCAGCGGAGCGGCGGGCGCCGGACCCCCCAGGCGGAGCGACAGGTCTCGGGCCCCCAGCGCGGAGCGGCGGGCGCCGGACCCCTAGGTGGAACGACAGTTTCTCGGGCCCCCAGGCGGAGCGGCGGGCGCCGGACCCCCAGGCGGAGCGACAGGTCTCGGGCCCCCAGGCGGAGCGGCGGGCGCTGGACCCCCAGGCGGAGCGACAGGTCTCGGGCCCCCAGGCGGAGCGGCGGGCGCCGGACCCCCAGGCGGAGGCGACAGGTCTCGGGCCCCCCCTGGCGGAGCGGCGGGCGCCGGACCCCTAGGTGGAACGACAGTTCTCGGGCCCCCAGGCGGAGCGGCGGGCGCCGGGACCCCCAGGCGGAGCGACAGGGTCTCGGGCCTCCAGCGGAGCGGCGGGCGCTGGACCCCCAGGCGGAGCGACAGGTCTCGGGCCCCCAGGCGGAGCGGCGGGCGCCGGACCCCCAGGCGGAGCGACAGGTCTCGGGCCCCCAGCGGAGCGGCGGGCGCCGGACCCCCAGGCGGAGCGACAGGTCCTCGGACCCCCAGGCGGAGCGACAGGTCTCGGACCCCCAGGCGGAGCGACAGGTCTCGGACCCCCAGGCGGAGCGGCGGGCGCCGGACCCCCAGGCGGAGCAACAGGTCTCGGGCCCTCAGGCGGAGCGACAGGTCTCGGGCCCCCAGGCGGAGCGGCGGGCGCCGGACCCCCAGGCGGAGCAACAGGTCTCGGGCCCCCAGGCGGAGCGACAGGTCTCGGGCCCCCCCAGGCGGAGCGGCGGGCGCCGAACCCCCAGGCGGAGCGGCGGGGCGCCGGACCCCAGGCGGAGCGGCGGGCGCCGGACCCCCAGGCGGAGCGACAGGTCTCGGGCCCCCAGGCGGAGCGGCGGGCACAGAGTCACCAGGCACGACAGTGGGCTCCGAGTCAACTGGCATGACCGCTGGCACTGGGTCAGACATTGGATCGTCTGGCTGGACAGCGGGCATCGGTCACCAGGCATCAGGTCATTTGGCTCGACAGCGGGCACCGCGTCATCTGGCAAGGCAGTGGGCTCCGAGTCAACTGGCATGACCGCGGGCACTGGGTCAGACATTGGATCGTCTGGCTGGACAGCGGGCATCGGGTCACCAGGTATCAGGTCATTTGGCTCGACAGCGGGCACCGGCAGTCATCAGGTACCGGATTGTCTGGCTTTGACAGCAGGCATCGGGTCACCAGGTATGACAGCGGGCACTGGGTCACCAGGCATCAGGTCATTTGGCTCACCAGCGGGGCACCGCGTCATCTGGCAAGGCAGTGGGCACCGGGTCACCAGGCATTGGTTCACTGTTGTCTGTCTGGACAGCGGGCATCGGGTCACCAGGCATCAGGTCATTTGGCTCGACAGCGGGCACCGCGTCATCTGGCAAGGCAGTGGGCTCCGAGTCAACTGGCGTGACCGCGGGCACTGGGTCAGACATTGGATCGTCTGGCTGGACAGCGGGCATCGGGTCACCAGGCATCAGGTCATTGGCTCGACAGCGGGCACCGCGTCATCTGGCAAGGCAGTGGCTCTGAGTCCACTCGTATGACCGCGGGCACTGGGTCAGACATTGGATCGTCTGGCTGGACAGCGGGAGCATCGGGTCACCAGGCATCAGGTCACTTGGCTCAACAGCGGGCACCGCGTCATCTGGCAAGACAGTGGGCACCAAGTCACCAGGCACGACCGTGGGCTCTGAGTCAATTGGGCACGACAGCGGGCACCGGTCATCAGGTACCGGATTGTCTGGCTCGACAGCGGCATCGAGTCAACTGGCCTAATAGGATCATCAGGCTGGATCAGTTCATCATGCTTGGTAGAGGCATCAGGCCGAGCGAGGCATCAGGCCAAGCGGAGGCATCAGCCGAATAGAGGCATCAGGCCGGGTAGAGGCATCAGGCCGGGTACAGGCATCAGGCTGAATACAGGCATCAGGCTGGGATACAGAACCTCAGGCTGAAGTGCGGGTGTGTGAGGCACCAGGCTGAACCACGGAAGCAGGTTCTCAGACAGCAGGCTCACTGGTTTGGATACTGGCAGGTGGGGGTTTTTTTTTTTTGTTGGTATTGGTTGGAAAAAGAATTTTTCGCTTTTTTCTGTTTTAACTACTGGAGCACTGCAAGTAAACGCAGGTCTGCAAACGAATGGAGCAGCTGGAGACAGAGAAGAGCTGGAGGATGGAACAGAGGAGGGGAGCAGTTGCTACAGAGGGCTTCTTTACAGGGTTTAAAGGCAGGGACATGCGGTAGATAGCAGGGCAGGAGGAGCTGTTGGGAATGCAGGAATAGAGCTTTGAGGAAATAGATTAGAAGCAGGACTGGGTTTTTGTAAGCTGACTGAGGCTGGGTGCAACAAATCTGTCCATGTCTGCAGTATGGTTGAACAAAGCTCAGCTTACACAAAGCCTGTCTGACCAAAGACTGCACTGCGTTTATACAATCCCTTAATACCTGTGGTGAACATGCAGAATAACGCTCCAGAAAGTAATCCACAACATCCTCTAATAACCACACCAGGGACTCTACCTGGTCGGCACTAAATGGCGGCAAAAATTCATCCCTGCATTCGGGGGTACCAGATGAAACCAACTCCGCACAAACCTGAATCAATGGCTGCACCTCAGAGAATTCTGTGCCCTGATCTACTAGAACATGAGTGAGCCGTATACATTCTAGCAGTTCATCCCGGGGATACTCCTTCAGAGTTTGATAAGCATACTCTCTGTCATCAAACACTAGCAGATATAAATACTCAACCTCATCCAGATCCATCCTTCCCATCAACAAACCAAGATGGCTTCCCTGTGCAGCCACTTCTGGTCAGGATTGGCCTTGGTGTAATGTCAGGGCTCCAGGGTATGACCAGTGGTGTGTGACTGACGCAGGGAAACGCAGACTTCAGATATGTTATAAACAATATAATTTATTAACACTAACAATACAAACATAAACGCAGTGCAATACTAAAACATAACACAGTGCAAACAAACCAAACCAACCACCCACAGATAACCGTACATACAATGCAAGCGTCGTCAGGCAGGCCGGGTCAATATCAATCGGGCAGGTAGGTACAGGGGGAGCAAGCGGAATGGTCGGGGTCACAAGCCAGGTTCAGCAGGTAGCGGGCAGCGTGGTACAGAGGGTCAGGCAGAGGAGAATGGTCAGACAAGCCAGGGATCAGGAGCAGGAGAAAGGTCAGACAAAGCCAGGGATCAGAGCAGGGTCAGCAACGAATCAGACAGGAACAGGATACAGGGCCCAGGAGAAACACACACTGCGGCAGAGTCTGCAGGTCTGGCCATCCCTTAAATACACCAGTATAATCAGTTCCAGGTGTTTGACTGGCTGCAAGGTTGAGTCTCTGATTGCTGGGAGCACCCGCTGGCCAGCCCTGGTACTGCAGCTCATAAGGCAGGTGAGTCCCACCATTGCTGGCCAGTCCATTCCTGACAGTCTGGTTCTCTTATTTACCTACAGGATTAGTGCAATATCCTCTATGGGGAGGGTCATTTCTCATAATTGCACCCCCCCCCCTCCTTCCCCAAAAGTGGGTTACTTATGCTTTCATTTTGTATTCAATTTGGGTTTTTCTAGCTGCCTCTTCTAAAATCAAAAACAGAATCACTGAGTTGGAAAAAGGATCACCCCCTTGTGCCAGTATTTTGTTGAACCACCTTTTGCTTTAATTACAGCCTTTAGTCTGCTGCTACTAATTTTGCACATCTAGACTTTACAATATTTGCCCACTCTTCTTTGCAGAACTGCTCAAGTTCAGTTAAATTTGATGGTGACCGTTTGTGGACTGCAGTCTTCAAGTCATTCCACAGATTTTCAATGAGGTTTAGGTCTTGGCTCTGACTAGGCCATGCAAGGACATTCACCTTTTTCTCCTTCAACCACGGTGTGATCATTTTTTCTGTGTGCTTTGGGTCATTGTCATGCTGGAAGGTAAACCTTTTTCCCAACTTTTTGGCAGATGACAGCAGATTTTCCTCAAGAATTTGACGGTATTTTGAACCATCCATTTTTCCTTCTATCCTGACAAGTGGTCCAGTCCCTGCTCTAGAAAAACACCCCCATAACAGGATATTACTACCTCCATGCTTTACCGTATGAATGGTGTTATTTGGATGGTTAGCTATATTGAATTTCTACCAGGCATATTGTTTAGTGTTGAGGCCAAATAATTAAATTTTAGTCTCATCTCACCATATCATCTGACATAACATATAACCTTTTCCATGTGGCCTCAGAATCTTCAAGGTGTGTTTTCGCAAAACTCGGTTGTGACTGCATGTGGCCTTTCTCGAGGAGTGGCTTTTTCCTTGCAACCCTCCCATACAAGCCATATTTGTGTGTAGAGTTTGTGATATTGGTGTCACATACACACAATGACCACTGTTTGTCATAAATTCCTGCAACTGCTTCAGAGTTGCCGTAGGCCTCTTGGTAGCCTCTCTGACCACTTTCCTCCTGGCTGTTTCATCCAGTTTGAAGTGACATCCTGATCCAGGGAGGGTCTGTGTTGTACCAAATGCTTTCCACATCTTAATAATAGACTTCACTGTGCTTCTAAGCATTGATTAACCCTTTGAATTTTTTTTGTATTCATCTCCTGACTTGTGCCTGTCAACAACTTTATCTCGGAGATCTTTTGACAGTGCCTTGCCACCCATAGTTGATTGTTTGCTTCAGTTGCACTACCAGGGACTGATTCTGTTTACAAGTCATTTTTAGGAGGGAAGTAATCCTTTTTCCAACTCAGTGATTCTGTTTTTGAATTTTTAAATTTGTTCTGACATGTTGGTGTTATATCTTTCACTTGGATGTTATAGGTTGCACTGCGTAAATACAGCTAGATAAAACAAAAACTGTGTCTGTCTTCATTTCAGGCTGCAAAGCAACTAAATGTGGTTATTTTAAAGGGTGGTGAGTCTTTTTTATAGCCACTGTACATTGGTCAACCATATTTATTCCTTCCATGTGCAGACCCTGATACTGATTTTCAGTGCTACACAATGGTTGTGCTCCTTCTCACAATTCATGAATATTGGTTGGCTCATGTATTGAAAATACTGAGCTCCCTGTGTAGTTGATATTTTATCTCAACAGATGATAAGCAGACAGAGTTGTTTAAATGACTAATCTACCTTGCTCCTAGTGGCTAATCTACAAATCTCTACATTTATTACCATAACAAAAATAAAGATAAAAATAGGAAGATTAGATTAAAAAAAATAGCTTTACTGTAATTTTTAACTCAAAATATGTGCTCTCTGTAAATTCTATACTTTTACTGTAAGTGTAAAACCAGGTTTAACGAGTTTCTACTCATTAAACACGGCATACCCTTACTGTACAATTCTATGTTTATATACTCACATACAGGATGCACACACGCAATGGATATTCTTTCACATGACTGTTCTTTCACTAGGGCTCACTTTGTAGTGGTCAGGATCATTGTGTAGCAGGTTCATCTTTTGGTAGATATGAAACCTAAAGTGGTTCGTAAGCCTTTTGAATAATAATACAGTGCATCCTGAAAGTATTCACAGCGCTTCACTTTTGCCACATTTTGTTATGTTACAGTCTTATTCCAAAATGGATTAAATTAATTTTTTTCATCAACATTCTACAAACAATACCCCATAATGACAATGTGAAAGAAGTTCGTTTTGAAATCTTTGCAATTTATTAAAAATAAAATATGAAAAAAAAAATATGTACATAAGTATTCACAGCCTTTGCTCAATACTTTGTTGAAACACCTTTATTACAGCTTTAAGTCGTTTTGAGTATGATTCTACAAGCTTGGCAATTTCTCGCATTCTTCTTTGCAGTACTCCTCAAGCTCCATTAGGTTGGATGGGGAGTGTTGGTGCACAGTCAATTTCAGATCTCTCCAGAGATGTTTAATTGGGTTCAAGTCTGGACTGGCTGGGCCACTCCAGGACATTCAGAGAGTTGGCCCGTAGCCACTCCTTGTTATGTGGCTGTGTGCTTAGGGTCATTGTCCTGTTGAAAGATGAACCGTCACCCCAGCCTAAGGTCCAGCGCACTCTGGAACAGGTTTTCATCAAGGATGTCTCTGTACATTGTTGCATTCATCTTTCTTTTGATCCTGTCCAGTTTCCCAGTTCCTGCCACTAAAAAACATCCCCACAGCATGATGCTGCCACCACCAATGCTGAGTGGACCCAGAGCCATGGTGGGAATGAAGTAGCAGTATTGCAAGGACTGCCTTGAGCGTGACAAATAATTAGATTTTTTTTTTTGCATGTACATACAGCATATTTAAGAAAAAAACACACATACACCCTTATTAATGCCAGTGGAAACTTTGGAGCATGAGAGAATATACAAGTAAATTTGGAATAAGCTGATTATATAAACTCTGCATTAGTAAGTTCATTTAGTAACTTAATTTTCTGTTTGCAATTGTTTTTTTAAAGGGTAAA